CAGCCGTTCACGACATCTGTCTTACATTAAGAGGACAACTTATCAGATTTAAAGACCGATGCCATTCTCCTGCATTACTGCGACTTATGCCGGCGTTCTTTTTCCATAAGCGTGGGCTTAGGTCAACACCCAGCTTACCCCCGCCGCAATGGATTTTTGGCTGCTACTGTTGTCATCAAATGGACATAGTTCGACTGCTCAACATGCGGTAAAACGTTCAAAAGCAAGCGTGGTTTGTCTCAGCACCGCCGTCAAGTCTATCTGGATGCTTACAACGCAGAGGATCTGGCACGGCTATTCAACCACTAGTGCAACTGGTCTGCGGTAGAGGACGAGATGCTTCTGGGCTGCGTCACGGATATGGCACCCCCCGCCCCCAATCTTCCACAGCTACTCACTCAGCTCCGCATCCGATCAAATGACTGCATTACGAAACGATTTGCAACGTTTCTTTCCTATGACATGCCACAGACCCTCGCAGTCACCATACCATTTTTCTACCGCTCTTGACTATCGGGTAATGTTTGAATCCACACTTGCTCTCCCGCTGTTAGCTCAGACAGTACCCGTGCACTTCGGTCATAGTACCGTTTCTGAGTGGTCATTCGTCGTCTCAGACTGTTCTGTAATCGTTCTCGCTGTGGCGAAACTGGGCGCAAAAGTGTGGTGGATGCCGGCATCAGCATTCTAATCCTTCGGCTGTATAGGCGCTGCACCGGGCTCAAACCGATATTCGTTGAAGGAGTGTTGCGAGTCTCCAGTTGCTCTAGCCTTTGATAACAGTCGCTTGGCCTGCTTCACTGCCGACTTCGCCTTTCCATTCAATTGACTGTGATATGGGCTGGTTTGCTGGTGCACGAATTCCCACTTGGTTGCGAACGTCTGTAACACACCGCTGGTAAACTGGGGCCCATTGTCAGAGACCAGCTCCTCCGGTATACCGTCTCGCGCGAACTGACATCTGAGCTTGTTGATTATTGCCTCTGTGCTCGTAACGGTGAGTAGATCGATTGCAAAATAATCACTATAATAATCCACTGTGAGTAAGTAATCTTTCACGTTATCATTGCATAAATCTACCGTCACCTGCCACGGTCGATCAGGGACATCATGCAGCGTCATTGGTTCCCTCGTCTGCCGTATTTCGTGTGAACGGCACGCCTCACAATTCGATACATGATCTTTTATTTGACCCGTCATTCTTGGCCAAAAATACACTTCTCTTGCTCGGTTAAGGGTATACTTGGTACCAAGGTGAGCGCGATGAACGTATTTAAGTATTTCTCCTCGGAGCGATAACGGAATCAGAATACGGTTCCCCTTGAACAGCAAACCATCATAGACAGAGAGTTCATCCCGAAGATTGAAGTAGAGTGTTAGTTCCTTCGGTAGCTGCTTCTTTGTCTCGAGCCACCCATTTAGGATAACGTCTCGCAAAACTGGAAGCGTTACAACTTCTCTGTGTGGCGCCGTATTTCCTTTAGGCGATCTTCTGTCACTCCCAGGTGCTGTACTAGGTATACTGCTTCGACCTCTTCCGGATTATGTTCGGGTACCGGCAGATAAGCTCTTGACAGTGTATCCGCGATAAACATCTGTTCACCAGGCATATACACAATATCCACGTCGTTCTTTTGAAGCCGGCTAAGCATACGCTGAAGGCGACGAGGAACGACCTGCAGCGATTTCCTGGTTATTGACACAAGCGGATTGTGGTCGGTATGCGTTGTTTTTCTTCTGAAAGTATGATCCCTGAAACGCTCCATGCATTGACTACCGCAAACATCTCCTTCTTAATCTGCGCATAGCGCTGCTCGGTCATGGTGCGTGCTCAGCTACGCAAATCCACAGGTTTTCCATTCAGTAAGAGAACAGCGCCTATTCCGTCTTGGCTACTGTCACACTGTATCTCCAAAGGCTGCGCTGGATCGTAATACCCGAGTACAGGCGCGTTTCTGATGCGGTGCTTAATTGTTTCGAATGCGGTTTCTTGTTCTTTTCCCCAACACCACTTTACTTCTTTGTGAGTTAACTTCCTGATCGGCGTCATGATATCAGCGAGTCTTGGCATAAAACTGCTCAAGTAATTCACCATACCGTTTAAGTGATGGATTCCCTTCACGTCATTAGGAGGCGGCATCTCTCGAATTGCTTTAATTTTTCCTGGATCGACATCGACCCCTTTCGTTGTTAGCAAATGCCCATGGAAAATCACCTCGTCTTTCCGAAGTTCCATTTTTCATGTTTAAGCTTTATGTTCTTTTGCACACAAGGCTGTAAGAAACGGCGGAGATTATCGTCGTGTTCTTCTGTCGAGCCATTGATCAAAACATCGTCTGCCGCGCATGTTACACCATCTAAATCGTCTACCGCTTGCACCAATCGCTTTTGAAAAATTTCACTCTACACCTTCAGGCTAAACAGTAAACGCGGTCAACGATAACGCCCAAACGATGTTGCAAAGATAGTAAGGAAACTGGATTCCTCATCTAAAACTACGTGCCAGAATGCTGAAGAGGGGTCTACCTTCGTGAAACACTTAGCTTTAGCCAAACGCGGCAAACTATCTTCTAAGCTAGGTAGCGCGTAATGCTCTCTACGCAAGACCTCATTCAACGGTTTTGGGTCAATACACACACGCAGTTCGCCCATCTTCTTCGTAATGATTGCGACCTGACTAACCCAGTCGGTTGGCTCGTTGACTTTGGCAATCCCACCCTCTCTCACAATTTGCTCAATTCAGCGGATAACCTGTCACGCAGTGCGAATGGAACTCACCTAGGTTGTGGCGCTGTCGGTCGTATCAAAGGAGCTAAGGACAATTGAGCGGTTCTTCCAAACTTTCCCCAACCTCTGTTAAACACAGACGGATACTAATATTGGTTTCTCCTTGGCAAACATGCAGAAATCGGTCATGATTAAAAACAACAAAACCGAGAGACTGGATGGAATCAATGCCGAGAATCGGCGTGAGCTCCTCCTCCTCCGCGATCACAAGCTCCAGTGGATGTGAGGCTCCATCTCTTGGGTTAGCTTAGCTCTTCGGATGAAGTTTGGAACCATTCCACATATGCAGGCAATCTTGATCGGATCGAATGCACATTCCGGAACAGTGGTTCTCTGGTAGAATGTTGACAGCAGCACTTGTGTCTCACCAGAATCGTACAACTTCGCCTTCGATTAAAAGACTTTCGTAGTGGCATTTTTTCGGTACCTTCCGAGATACGTTTCCGATTGGATCTGCAGGGGACTTTTCACGAACAACCGCACTCACATTGGTTGATTGGCAACAACTAGCAAAGTGATTCCTTTTTCCACATCTGGCGCATCTCCGACCTCATGTCTGACACAATTCGCGGGTGTTCGGATGTCGCGTGGCGCACAATTTGCAGCTCTCCTGTCTCACCGTAGTAGTCTTCGCTGTTTTGCCTCTGGAAACGGCATACAATTCCCCATCTGTTGCGAGTTTCATTTGTTGGTGTTGATGCGTGTTTGAGGACTCATGTTGCTGATATCAATTCACTGCTAGAGCGATAAGTTGTGTTGTCGCAAAAGCCGCTTTGTCTTACTTTCATCATTGATTCCTAGAATGATCCGATCGCGTATGAGACTGTCGCCCAAACATATCCAGAAATGGCAGGATCGGGTCAAAATCTTCAATACAGTGACGTACGCGTCAACTGATTCGTTTGGGCCTCTAACGCGCGAAAAGAAAAGATAGCGCTGGTAGGTCTCGTTGGTTTGACCTTCACACAATTCACTGAATTTTCCAATGACCGTCTCCAAATTATTGGGATCTTCGACTTTGGCGGAGTGCAATGTCTATAGAACACGGCGCGCGTCATCCCCGGCTACGTGACGAAACATGGCGAAGCGATACGCCATCGGTTGTTCGTCCAAACGTACTAAGGTGCAGAAATACTTCCGCTTGCTATTCCATAGACGCCAATTACTCGCCAAGTTCCCTTCATCCATGTTCAGTGTGGCAGGCATCTGAATAGACGGTGGTGATCCAAACAGCATCCGCGCGCCGCCGGTGGGGTTCGTGCTTGTCTTCTCTGACACCACGTTGCAGAACTCAGCGCTTCAGAGACAAGCATTTATTCGGCAAAGACAGCTAAGTGAAAATCACGGCATGTTTAGCAAGCCAAACTCCTTGATATAAATTGCAGGTTTCAGTCCAGAACTAACGACCATCCTGAGTCTATGAGATTCATCCTTTGCTTCAGTTAAACAAACGGTGAATCACTCACACGAATATCGTCCAATCCGAGTCCAGTAATCGAATCTGTCACTTCCGTCTCCCATTGGCTGTTTGGCTCGCTCTTTTGTTCCTTTTGCTCACTCTGATCTGATACTACCATCACAGTCTCGATCGCTCTCTTAAATCGTAATATCTTACTAAGCGATTTCTCACTTGTTTTTTGTATTCTATAGTGTTTTTTCTCTCGTTCTTTTGTCTACCTTATCTTTTGTATTGCAGCACATTTGTTGAAGTGTGTTTCTCGCCCTCAGCTAATGTATAATGGCGATGATGATGATGATGATGACAGTCTCGCGAACCCCGTCTACAAGCACATCTCCGCTTCATTCCCTATAGCATGTTTTACTCTTCAAGTAGCTTCGCTGCAGCGTGAATCAATCTCACACAGCCGTCAAACATACACGGGAGGACACTGCAAGACTCTTTTGTTCTTTTGGGCCTCCCAACGCCATTGAACCCTTTGTTCAAACTTCACGAGGTTCGAACTCATGCGCATACAGCTCTGACTGACTTATGCCACTTTGACTACAACTCACCCTCTTTATTCGAATCTTGATATATCCAAAGAAGTCGTGAATCGCTCACGAGTCTAACCAATACGATATAATCATGCAACATTTTTCTTGAGGCGTATTGACCGTCCAATTGATATACATATTTCTGCATCATCATCATCATCATCATCTGTTTTCTTTTCCCCGGCATTTTTCCCTTTGCTCACTTTTTCTCTGTGCAGAAGCTACAAGTCCTCAGCTTACGAGAGAATAAAATTCGCAGTTTACCCTCGGACCCAGGCATTGCTGAATTGACGCAGTTAATCACGCTGGACGTATCCCATAACCATCTGGAACAGCTTCCTGACAGTAAGTATTTGAGCGGTATATCCAACTTAATCTCCTACCTCATGTCGACTCAATCTTGCGTCAGTTACTTTGCTCTTTTGGATTGCTGACTTGCGTTTGCAAATTTTGTCCGGTACTCCGTTGGACCGATTCGCCACGAATTGCAATTCACTTACTAGCTACATTTACCGTCTCAGTAGTGCAACGCATCTAGTCTATTTACTTCTTCCGGGTTTTTGGGTACAATTCGCCGATGCCCATCAAGTTGCTGGACGACGCGTTCGGATTGGAATCATCGACCCCATTGCCCGGTACAAAACCTATTCATGGCCGCTTTTCTATGTAGCTTAAAGTACCTGAATAGTATGGATGGGTCGCTCGATCTTTCGCTAGATTGATTGAAACACACCAGACGGTTTTCTCATTATGGCATTTTCATGGTGTTCATGGCATTCAAATTTGATTTGAAGTCTCAGCAGTGACTAAATTGAAATGGCACAAACCAGTGCTTCTGTAGCAAAACAGGGCCCCCAACTTGATATCCTTCTCACATCGTTGCCGTATGATGAGTACCGCTCCTTGTTCGTTGTATTCGCACAGGGAGGATATCTCTTTGATCATCAGGCTCTTGTTAGTCGCTGATGCAATCTTCCATGGGGCCATAGAGCAGCATTTGGAAATACCCAAGCTATTATTAAATAGTAGGGGTATTTATTGGGTTTTTGGGTGAAGACTCGTCACAGCTAGACTCAGGTCAACAGTCACCACACATCCAGGAAAGCGCTTGACGGCCATTTCGTCTTATAGTAGCGTACACTCGCCGAATCCTACTGGATTCGAACCCATGACCTTATTCTTACGCCTGGCGGTGTTTCGACATACGATCGGAGATGAAGCACGCCACCTTCTGGAAACGATATAGTACGAAAAGGACGAAGACTCAGTTGATCTGGAAACAGTCATCCGAAAATTCGGCGGGGGGGCTAGACTGACGAGAGTTATCAGCGGTATCTCTTTTATTTACTGAAAGCAGTCGCTCGAATGAATCTATCGAGAACTATCTTACGGAGCTGACGATCCTGTCTCGTTTCTGTAATTTTTTGCAATTATGTGACTGAGAGTCTCATTCGAGATAGAATCGTGCTGGGAATCCATGATGAAACCATCACCAAGCGCCTGTTCCAGCATCGACACTTATCGCTCAGACAATACCTTGATATATACCTTAGTGAATCCTCAGTTAAACGCCACATCTAGCAAATGCAATTGCCGACTGAATTAGAGCTATGTGCCGAAGCGTGTTACCAAGAAACTTGCAAATTCTGCGCTGCACGACACCCAAAGGATCGTGATCAATGTTTGCGTAAGGTCGAACTTGCGCCAAATGTGGCCGACAAAATCATTTTGCTTAGTGCTGCCACTCTCCTAAAGTGAATGCACTTAATCGTGACAACACCCTCCGACTCTGGTCATTCAACCGGCAACGTTTCGCGGACGGGATCAAAGAAGTGCGTCTACACAAGTTTATTGGTTGGCGACAACATCGTGCGCTTCCAGATAGACACCGGTGCTACCATCTACATAATATCTGGTAACCAGTGTCCAGAAATGTATGTGCGACCACATCAGGACTTCGTGCACTTGTGCGACGCATCCTCACATCAGTTAAATTGCATGGTCGTGAAGGAAGATCTCACGCCGATTCTCGGCATTGATTCTATCCAATGTCTTGGCTTTGTTCATTTTAACCATGATCCTTTTGTGCATGCGTGTCGAGCAGCGACACATATATTTTTGAACAGTATCCGTCCGTCTTTAGCCCAAGTATGGGGAGGTTTGTAGATTCCGTTCACTTGTCAATATATTCGTCAATACGACCGATTGCGCTTCCGGCTAGAAGGGTTCCGTTTGCTGTACATGGTAAGTTCGCCACTGAATTAAGTAACAATGCAATTGGGTGTAATAGCTAGTCGACTGGGTTAACCACGTCGCGATTGTTACGAAAAAGAACGGTGGTTTGCGTCTGTGGATCGATCCTAAGCCATTGAATGAAATTCTACGCAAGGAACACTATGCACTGGCAGCGTTAGAAGATGTCCTACCGCCTTTGGCTAAGGCAAAGTACTTCACCAAGGTCGATCTATCATCGACGTTCTAACACACGGTTCTAGAAGAGGAGTTCAAGCTTTTGATGACGTTCGCTACACCCTTCGGACGTTTTCGCTGGCTACGTTTACCATTTAGTTTAAAGGTCTCGAGCGAAATATTTCAGATTCACTTACTGCAAGCTGTTAGCGATTTAGACTGTGTAACATGTGTAGCAAACGATGTGCTGATTTACGGCTCGACCGACCAGGAACATGACACCAATCTGCACCATTTTTTGCAGTGTTGCGTGCAAAAGAAGATTAAGCTCAAACGCGAAAATGTTGAGTTCCGGAAACCGGAAGTGATTTTTCATGGGCATGTTCTGATATCCGAGGGAATAAAGATCGATCCCGAGAAAATCAAGGCAGTGCCGTAACTGCATCAACCTGAGGAAATCAAGGATGTTAGTTGCTTAAATGGTATGGTGAATTATTTGATCCGTTTCTTACCAAGGCTAACTCAAGTCATGACGCCCATTCGGAGGTTGGCACACATGCGTATAAAGTGGAGTTGGGGAGGAGCGCAGGAGGCCGCCTTTACAACCATCAAGCATCTTCTCAGCTGTGCACCAGTGCTCGGCTACTACGATCCAGCTCTGTTTTTGGAGGCGCAATGTGACAGCATTCAAAACGGATTAGTCGCCGTTCTCATGCAGGATGGTAATTCTCTGGATTTTCGTAGCTGAGCGCTCGCAGTGGCAGAACAGCGCTCTGCGCAGATCCAAAAGTAGATGCTCGCTGTTGTTTATGCAAGCGAGTAGTAGTTCAACCACTACACCGTGTATACTGACCATGAACTACTCGTATCTATAGCCCGCAAACCCTCGACGTCTTCAAAGAATGCTTATCCGTCTCCAAAAATACGACATGGATCTTGTGTACACTCCGGGGACACAGATCTTCATCGCAGATGCTCTGGCGAGACAGTAAATCTGGTACATCTGGCAGTAACGGAAGATCGCCTGAGAGAAATTAGGCGTCATGCAGAGGCTGGCGCGACGTGCGCGGCGTTGCGGGACGTGATTTTTAGTGGATGGTAGGACACAAAGGACAAACTTTCGAAGGAATTTGCGCCATTATTCAACTATCAGGATGACGGTTTGCTGTTCAAAGCAAATCGCGTTTTGATTCCACCGTCCGTTCGCAAAGGGATGCTAGAACATGCTCATCGAGCCCTTTTGGGTGTTAACTGCAGCATCAGCAGAGCATACGAACTGATGTTCTGGCCCGGGATGACGAATCAACTTCGAAATCTAGTGTCAAGCTGTTCAGCTTGCCGACCCCATGGAATAAACTAGCAGTTGACTTGTCCTGTGATAACGGGAAAGACTACTTAATCACAGTGGACTACTACAGTGACTATTTGGAGATCCATCCAATCACCGCCACCACCACGGAAGTAGTCATCAAGGAACGTATAAGCCAGTTCACCACACACGGAATACCAGAGGAACTGATCTCCGACAATGGCCCACAATTTACAAGCGCTGCTTTCCAGACTTTTGCGACCAAGTGGGAATTTTCGCATCGACAAACCCTGCCCGTATATCACAGCCAGCCTAACAGAAAAACAGAGGCAGTGGTCAAGCTACTCATGAAGGTTCATATGTGATGCTGTTGAAAATTCGCAAAACGCGATCATCGAACATCGGTCTCAGTCCAGTTCAACGTCTGTACAGCAGAAAGACAAGAATTCTAATGCCTCCGTCGGTGGAACTTTTGCACTCTGCCTTGACGTCGCATAAGCTGCCGCAAAGGAATTTAAGAAAACGGTTGGCCGATCAAATACGGTATTACGATCGTGGTACCCGGGCGCTATCTGAGCTAGCAGTAAATGAGGAAATGTGGATTCAACCAATACTGAGTGTCAACAAGTGCTGGAAAATGTGTAGTGGCCGCGAAGGTCAGAGAAAGATCTTATGAAGTCAATATTGGAGGGGAGATAATCAGAAGGAACCGTGTGCAGCTGGGGCGACACCGGGAAGGAGGACGTGCACCTGAAGCAAGGCGCACGACGGTTTTCGATGAGGTCACACCGACGGCGGCGCAGCAAAGACCACGCGGAGTGGAAGAGTGTACGGAGTCTTCAGTCACATCGATGCGGCTGATCACGAAAAGGGGAAGGATGTGATGGGATTATGCACGCATAAAAACGGTACAGACTTACATGACGAAGTAAGCGGATAGCTTGTCATAAGCGAACGAAGCAGATGATTTGACGCCTACGCATGTTCGCCTATACACTGCTTCATATTCGGCAGCGCTGGAGCGGATTTTTTGACTGATTCAAAGGAAAAATCTCATGCATGTACCAACGTCGTTAGTTATGGTACTGACCTGGTTATTTATGTCGAGACTTCTACAACCTAATCATGCTGTCACTTTCGCTGTGCTTGCTTTGTTGAATAAATCATTTTTCCCTGAAAGGCCTAGTTTTACGACACTCCGAACACCATGTCTCAAGTAGTCTGCACCAGCTAATGTTCCTGAAACCTTCTCTCTGTAATTCTTTTAACTATTTCCTGCGATCTCCTTTTCCACCATGTGTTCGGCAGTTGCTGTTTGGTTTGCAGGACCACGGTGTTCCTGCTCTCGGCGGGGCGACATTTAGGCGACCTTGTTAGGGAATGGAAACGAAGTTAACGGTAGATCGACCACGTTATTTGATAAAAATCAGACTGAGTTTATGGTCATACTTGACGTGGTTTCCACCGAGCGGTGGATAAATGCAATGCTTGCGTCGACCATTTTTTTAATTCTCACACATGCGGAAATTGTCCCCCTTAAGTGCTGATAATGGCTTTGCTTTTCTTGGTTTGATCGTTATCAGTTACGTTATGACAGCAGTTCAGTGATGCGCACGAAATCTCTTTTTTCTTTCTCACTATTCGGATCTTTTGTACGAACTTAGCAACCCCACATATCAATCTGCGAAAACTCCAAAACCATACTTTATTTGCGCTTAAGCTCACATCTGCAGTTGTTCTCCAACACGAGTGATCATCTAGGGCTGCATTTTCGTGTATGTTTATTCAACGCTCCACCTACCGTCACTTGATGGCAGGGGTCACAAGTCTGCCTTGTAATCCAGAGGTCGCGGGTTCAAGCCTGCGTAGGGGTCCGGGTGACTTCTGCAGTATTCTCAGTCCACGCGCGACTTGTCGTGGGTGCGCGGCAGCGAAGCGTCGGTCATGTGTACCGACGTACCGCTGATGCCTCTATCGTCCGGTTCTTTTTCGATCATTCCTAACCGTCCATTTCGCCTTCTCCAAAGTGTCTTCGCTTTCAAATCTTTCTGCCAGTGCGACGCAATATCATGGCCGCTGACAGTCTTTGTTTCATCTCCATGTGCCTGGATTCTTTTGTCCTTCAAAATTTGCACTCCAGCTTTAAATAATTACCACGCATCTCAGCGACCTAGTGTCCAGGGTGTTATCCGTTAATCATTAGGTCACAAGTTGCACTCCCAGCACCGGCTACGTCTACCTGATGACTCAAATAGAGGATGAAATTGGTCACGGAATGCAACGTTTGGAGTGAGTAACACCGTATTCCTCCCAGCTGTTTGAGTCAGACCTCAGGATGGTCAGTCGATGACGGCTTGGGGAGATTGACCGAAACAGTTGGTTGCACATACACATCACCATCTCGAATAACGGACTCGCGGTGTATGGCACCAGTGGTCAGCTAGCTTATACGACATGTCCCCTTCACGAAACCCGTGGCGCTGTTGTATGCAACCGCTTACCAGTTGCTGTTGATAATTTTCATCGTTTTTCCCTCTATTCCCTGTAATTTTCTCCCACTTATTCTTTTTCCCGCTTAGTATAGCGGCGCGTATCGTCGCGACTGAATCCACCGCTTTTTGGTTCGATGACACCAGTTGACCGATAGATGGAAACCGAGTAGTTCAGACGCCTGTCTTGTAATCCACAGGTGACCGAGCCGAGCCTGCTTGGGTGTGTTCAACTTTAAACTATCCCTATCCCTCTTGTACTGCCGGTGGTCTGATTGCAGCAAAACGTTGGTGTGAATTAGGGACGCACTACCGCTGCTAGTGGATGTTCAAGGGCGGTCTTTACTTTCCCTTATCAATCACCGCTTATTGGAGCCGATGCGTTCAACTTATGGGCAAAGCTGAGCTCCATTCTCCTTTGTTCCTTATTGTTCTGGAATCACTAATAGTTGCTACTGCCCATTTCCTTATTCCTCTTCTGTGTGCATCTTTTTTTCGCCTTCACTCTCTATCCACCTGGTTGTCTTTTTCTCCTCTCACTGTGTCCTTTGTTGTATACCAGAAATTGGCAAATGTCAAAAGTTGAGCACTTTGAATGTACAACACAACGAACTCCGCTCATTGCCCGACAGCATCGGTGATTTGAAACTCCTCGAACGTGTTGGACTGAGGTAAGCGAGTCGTTTCTCCCCTCCCTCCTATGTCTATCAGTACTGTCGCTTTATCCTTGGTTGGTTTCATCAATCTTGTCCATTCGAAACATTTGCTGCTTTCCTACTTGACGTCAAACATAGCGCCGATGTATTTTTCCCTTTGCCTCTCAATTTGTGCCAATTTTTTCCGGTTCCAATGTAGGTACAATCATTTAGAATGTCTCCCGGCTTCAATGGCACAATGTAACAATCTTTTGGAGCTCAACATCGAGGGAAACAACATTTGGCAGCTACCGGTACGTTATTCATACGGTTTCCTGCTCGGGGGTGTGGTGGTCTAAATACTTATTTAGAGCCCAATACTATGGCATTAATGGTGAATGTTGGTGAGTAGTGTAAAATTCGTAGAACGTAGAAGTCCCGATTAAAACTCACGCACAATAATGTGCCTCGACGGGGAGTGAGTGAGCCAGTCTGCAACACCAGGACAGGTACTGTGAGCTTATTGGCAATACGTCGCGCACCAAGCAGAAGTCATGTATTAAAATGTGCGCACCTAATCGTCAGCCCTCGGTAGCTCAGCGGTAGAGCAGTGGACCGGGGTTCGATTCCCTGTCGAGGCATATTATTGTGCGTGAATTTTAATCGTGACTTCTACTTTCTACGAACTATGGCATTAGTCAAAGCAGAAAACCTGATAAGCAGTCAAAACGCCTTTTATGGCGTTAATATGGAATTCGTGTCTGACGGTGAATTTAACTCACTTTGTGCCTTTTTTACTCCGAACATTTTTCCGGTCGCGACTTGTCGCAGCTGCGTTGGAACTGCGGCTTTGCAGAAGTTACTCTTGTACTCAATAGTCCATCCTGGCTTCGACGACGCATTTCATTATACGGATCAGGGAGTGTATAAAAGGACTTTATTCAAGCGATTGGTACATTTAACTTCATTGCATGTGTGAACGGGACTCGTTTACACCTAGTCATGTGAATCGTTTTGGTCAACTTAATGCATAGAATACCGACTTTCACCCTGATCGTATTCTGTTCACCGCCATGAGATCTTCTAGATCAAGCGTGTTCATCACTGCTATGAATAGTTGCATTACCTTTTGTCTTGGTTCATTCGAGTCACACTCGTCGTCATCCTCGATCATATTTCGATCAATCAAGGCGCATCGCTCATCTGTTGCTTGGTTCGCCGGGCTCAATTAGATGTCTGCATACGTTTCGCCACCACACGTGGTGGCATCACCAGTGCGGTTATGTGCGTTGGGCAATCTCGTCTATTGATTCGTCCTTCCGTAATCGACCGTCAGATGACTTTTTAAACACACTTTCGGCTCGTCCCATGGTGTTTGCCCATTTTCTCCTTCGGCTGAAGCAGTCACCCTGCCTTAAACGCTATAATTAGCAAGTGTCCAGAGACCTTTAATGACGGAGTCACTACAGTTTTTCCCGGAGTTACCTCATTCCTGTTATTACTGGACTAAAGTTGTCTGTGGAGATCAGCAATTTTTTTTCAATTACCTGGTGCTACATTGACGTACATGGAATGCCCATTTTAAATGCTATTACCACAATGTTCCCTCCCGCCGTCGCCTCCTTCCTGCTATTCGCTGGTCCGGAAAATTCAGTCTTACTCCTTCTGCGCCTGAACGCTCAAAGCATCCGAAGGCTGTTTTGATACAGCCTATTCGTGTTGTCAATGGACTCTAGATCGCAGCGTGAGAGCACACCGAGGTTGCGCACGAAAGACCCGGGATGCAGCGGTTGACCAGCCACTGTGTACGTTCGGCTGTGCTCACACTTACCCAACCTCATAAATTGCGACTTAGCAGGGTTGATCGGAAGGTTAACCTCTGCAGACCATGTCGAGAGGCTGTCGAGATCCTGCTGAAGTAAATCACGATCATTGAGTGTGCGGATTACTCTCCACACCTTCAAGTCATCTGCGAACAACGCACATGGTGATTGGAGTAGTTGAGGCGCATCGTTTACATGGATCAGAAACAAAATCGGCCCCAGTACAGTGCCTTGGGGCACGCCGCTGCTCGATGGATACCAGTCAGTTAGATGGTTGTCCACCTGGACTCTCCACTTTCGATCAACAAAGAAATTTCTGATCCATTTGTGCAGCGAACCACCAACACCGCACATCCTCAGCCTGTCAAGGAGCACTGCATGGTTAACCTTGTCAAAAGCCTTACTGAAGTCAATGTAAATGACATCGACCGAATGGCCTTGGTTCATCGCTTGTAACCATTCGTGCCTCGTCAACATTAGGTTGGTGATGCACGAGCGACCTTTCATGAAACCATGCTGTGCGGAGGTCAACAGGTTTTTCGACTCGAGAAGCTGCAGAAGGTTCTTCTTCACGATCTTCTCGAGCGTCTTTGCTAAAACAGCAGTCAGGCAGATCGGCCGGTAGTTATCCACTTTACTTGGGTTACCACCTTTCGGTATGGGCTTTACGACTGAGCATTTCCAGTCGTCTGGTAACAGTCCAGTGGATAGTGACCTGTTAAACGGTTCAGTTACAGAAAGCGCGATGATGGCCGATAGGGACTTGAGGATCAGTGGGTGTATACCATCTGGCCCAGCAGGCTTCATCCCGTCAAGATTTGCTAGAAGCTTGCCTACATCCTCAGTATTGCAGTCCAGGCTGTTAAGTTCGGCTGGAGCGGTACTCGTCGAACTCGTTACAGACACTTGGTCACTTGCAACTACGGAGGCGAAGTGCGCCGCCAATGCGGACGCACGATCTGTACTCGAGGTTAGGGGTTGTCCATCGGAGCCTTGTAACACTGGAACATTGGCTACAGGCCTCAGGCGCCGCTTCACGTATGCGAAGATCCTCTTGGGGACAGTTTTTGCGGCGGTTGCAAGCTCCTCCTCGAAGCTTCTGCGTTTCGTTGTTTTCGCGTTGTTGCAGCGATTTCTCTGGACCTTGTACGCATTGTAGTCCTCATCAGAGCCAGATAGCACGAATTTGTTCCATAGTCTGCGTCGTCGTCGGGCCAGTTTGTTGTACTCTTTATCGAACCAATGTGGTTTGACTGGCCCAACTTTCCGAAATTTGAGGGGTACAAATCGGGCGCACAACGATTTCACTCCCTCTTTAATTATGGTCCAACAGGTTTCAATAGATGAATCCTGTGGTAAAGACCAGTCTATGTGGCTCGCTGCTCGAATGAGGCCATTAAAGTCCGCCTTCCAATAGTTGAAGGCTGGTTCCATTGTGTGAGAATACGGCAGTGGTAGTTCCAAACTGCCTATGATCATCGAGTGGTCGCTCGCTCCCAGAGGCTCTAAGTATATTATACACAATCTGTGGTACAGATATTGTGCCATCGGAATCATGGCTGAATAGGAAAACAATATGAATAATAAGAAAAGAGCAACAAGAAATGCTTTTTTTGTCAAGTTTACCACTCACAGTTTTGAAATTTTTTTCAGTTTGTTCGTTTTTAGGGGGAGGAGGAAGGGACACCGCAACACACTGATGCACACGTCCGCCATTGACATCGATCTTGAGCCATAACTTCCAAGGTTTTCAACCAGCAAGTATCCTCGTCTCTCGGACCCCAACCAGGTAGTCGACAACAACCGGCCGAGGCCAATTGTTTCGTCAACTTTTTCATGCGGCTTCTCCATGTTGTAGGCTGTCCACCAGACCGTCTCTTCCAGCCCTGTCCAGCAAGTGCAAACAACGCACGACGGGGGTAACGCTGGACAGACATGCGCAATACGTGTCCCAACCACTGCAGTTGATGCAGTGAGATGAGCTCCTCGAGCGAGTGGCTTCCACGTCCCAAGACACGCTGTCTAACTTCCACATTGCTTACGTGGTGCTGCCACCACACACGGGCAATGGACCGCAGACAGCGGTGCTCGAAGACGGATAGCCTGCGCAAGTCATCTTTACGAATGGGCCAGGTCTCGCATCCGTACAACAGTACACACGCTGCCCACAGCTAGTCAAAGTAGGTCTAAGCATGATGGAGTCGCGTGCGCAGTAATGCTTGTCTGTTGGTTGATGTGCTGTGTGGCCCCAGTTTCAAATAGCAACTCCGTAAACTCCTCTCGGCTTCATAGTGGCCGGGGAGAAGTTCAGCTTCAGGCCACTGTATTCGGGGCAAGTTGAAATCACCCATGAGTAGGAACATCTGACGACTCATGTGGTTGCGAACATGCGGCAACCATTCCAAACAGCGGTTCAGTGGACTGCGATATACCACGCCCACTAGCAACTCGCAGCGTCTGAGGTGAATCGAACAACATAACTGCTCACATAGACAATCTGCACTTTGGTAGGCGCTCACTAGTCTCCCACACAAGGAAGACTTTATGTAAAGTAGAACGCCACCGCGATCATTTGATGATCTATCACAGCGGAAGCATGAGTAGCCGGTGATTTCCACTTCTTGGACGGTTACCTCGGGGTTCAACTATGTCTCAGCAAGGCCTAATACGTCTGGTCGCTGAGAGTTTACAAAGTCGTACAGCGCATCGCGCTTGTTCATCAGACTGCATACGTTAGTAAAGGCTACGCGCAGACCGCGGTAGAAACCGCTGGGCGCGCCTGAAGCATTAGAAACTTGTTGATCCGAATTCGTGGAGGAATTCGGGCAACTACCCGAAAATTTACAATACAGAGATTTGGTTCTCCATCCCCCTTACGTCGCTTTAGTTCAGTTATAGCAGACTTGAGTTTATCTCTGTCTGCCGGGTCTAAGTCAGCGCGCACGTGAATCTTTAGACCCTTCAGCCTTCTGTCTGCAAAAATTCTCCATCCATTCCCCTCCGAAATTTTCATTTAAATACTTACCTTCCGTTTCGCGCTGTTTCTCTACTTTTCATCTTAGCAACATAGCACCACCATTGCTGTTATCCCGAATACACTGATCGCTGTAATTCGGTCCATCGCGCTTCTGTACCAGGACCCCGTATTTTTCCACCAAAACAGTTGAATATCATCCCACTCTCCTCGAACTTTATCGTCGATTTTCCTTTTACCGTGTCTTGTTTGCGCTTACGAGGCACTGCGAACCAGACCTATGAGGTTGCACTGATGGTATTGCCTTGTCTGGCAACGTAACGTCTGCAAAGCAATCACTCAGCTCGGAAAATAGCTCAAAATCCGATCCTGTGTGTAGTATTCTCTCCATTCAGGGGAATGGATGCATGAGGTGTATTTTTGACCTGACGGACCAGTGTTGGTCTTCCTGGAGTGCTATGATCATTTGAAATTCTCCATTTTTCGTGTGCCATTCACTTTGCTGTTTACACCGAAGGTCTTCTGGTTTCATTGGACTTCCAACGCAATGCAAATTAAAATTCTTTTTCCTTTCAGTTTTACCGGAAACACATACATTTTCTTTCTCACTTTTTGTCCAGGATGGCCTGCTGACACAATTGAAGAAGCTATCCAGCTTAGCATTATCGCGCAACTATTTTAACGTGTTTCCCCTCGGGGGTCCACAACAATTCACTTCTGTGCAAGTGAGTTTTCCGCGTCGTTTACTGACCATCAACGTATATTTTGACTGTGTAATTTATTCTAACCATACTTACCTCGACATGCGCACCTAATTCCTCTTCCGGCGCGCATTGATTGATCATCATATACATCGCCTGTATAAATAAGCAATAATAATGATAATAATAATACTTGCATAATAATAATACTTGCAATAATAATAATAATACTTGCATAATAATAATAATACTTGCATAACGCCGGCGTCTAGTGCTTTTCTAAACTAGCCTAAGCCTGCTGATTGGGAGTGACAATGACGAGTTTGCTTAATTATTGTCTTTTCTCAACGCACACCTTTGGCGACCACGTCATAGGTGTCATTGACACGCCATTAGTGATGTCGTCGTTGTGTTGGATATTAGTTATGACATTGCCTGTTCCCACAATGGTCGATGCGTCTTTCACTTTTACCACAGCTGTATAATTGTTCGCACATCAATGCATTAGAAACGACCGCGCACTGGTCGATGTAGCACCAAGCGACAAACCATACATCCGCCGACTTCCTCTCTTGACGTCGTTGGTTCTTTAAGCCTTCTTACCCGCGAATCCAAGGAGGAGGTGTCTTATCGGCGGCTTAGGACGATATAAGATTTCTCGGAATTGAGCCTGTGAGAGGAACTTCACTCACATTTGTCTGGATTCATGTGTTAGGCGTCGTAGTGCTTACAAATGATAGAAAGGATGCTATTGCCACGCCAGCTATCTTCATTCGCTTCAGTAATGGACAGACAACAACGGTAATTATCATTCGTTCCACGCAACTTCATCGCTTACATAACGTTGCGACATTTTTATCGCGGTAAGACTCCTTCAGAAGGCGCTATCTTCGTAGTCAACTAGCAAACAAATGAAGCTCGACTACTCAAGCCAATAAGAAGCTGCCAAGCTACTCACTAATCAGGTGTAACCGTGAGCGCTTTGTGTTGGGCAGTAAACCTCAGGAAAGCTGCGACGAACTCTCAATTAATTGCATCATGAATCCCCTACTCATGAGCATAGCAAAATATTCATGTACATCTTATGCGTGAACCACCTGATTTAAATTCATCCCATCCATCGATTTCCATGTTCTGATTGGTTTCTTACGCGGTTACACAGGTATGAGATTGTCGCATCATTCACCTCTGTTTTATTACTAACAGCGGGTTATTCAATTGATAACGATGGTCCCACTCATACCCACCCCTCCTGCTCTCCATCTCCTTAGTCCTTGAATATGGATCACAACCAAATTACAAAAATCCCCTTTGGTATATTTTCAAGGGCCGCCCATCTGTCCAAATTGAACATGAGGGACAATCAGCTGTCTTCTCTACCGCCAGGTGAGTCTCCCGCTCTCGCTCTATCTCCACAGCGTTACATTTTAACGGCCGGACTGTCAACCCACCCTCCCCCACATCGTCAAAGCAAAATAGGCTTTATACACCAACATAGGTACATTATCAGCATTTTTCACTACTACTGTGGATACACGGAATGAATGGGACCAGTAAAAAAATATATACGCACAGATTGAAGCATTACATAGTGTTATAATTGAGGGAACGCCTCTGTTCTGATTGCAAAGATACCTGATAAGATTGTCACTGGCACGGTTGGAGCACGCCTACGGTAACGCCCTGGAACGCTGACCAATCGAACGGATTTGCACTGACATGGCGTAGCTTAGCCCCGGCTACGCGCTGGTGAGACGGAAATTGAGCCAGCGTGAGAACGATCCTAGCCGCATCATCATACACGTTAGCTAAAAGTGGGGAACACCTCAGCTACTGTGCCGCAATACATAGAAAAAAGAGGGGAAAAGCAACTGGTGCAAGCTAGCTGAGCTACCGGTAACGGATGGGCATCGTTCCGAGAAGCTACCAGCCGTCTACCGTGCATCAAAAAAATTACTATGCGAAATTATATAAGGCTAAATAATGAGATCGTGGTTGTAGGGGGAGGCTAAGAGGGATGGGGTGGGACAAAGAAATTCACATCACGAACGTCGATCCTAGCCGCAGGTATTCGGGTAGACGCTGAGCCCTCAGAACGGACCCACACGAGAGGGGGTTACGGTAGACGCGAACGCTGCGCGGCTAACGACGCACACAAAATCACGTGACCCGACCGACTCCCAAGTAAGGCGAAGAGGAAGCAAGACAGGCGGTCCTCTGAAGACTCTTTTACGACCAACAGGGGGCGAATCACAGCCAATGCAGTGAGTTATTAAGTTAGGGAAAATTGCTACCACGACAGGGTGGTAGTTTGTAAAAGAACATTGTCAACAGGTGCGCAGTTAGGCTGCGTCTTAGAGTGGCTAAACACTGCTACGTTGTGGGGAGGATTGGACCTCGTTCTCCACATCCATTATGCCGGAGTTTCTGGCGCGTTTTTGCGGGGATATTTGACGGGCCCACAACAAATAGTCCAACGTATGTGGATGTAATTCAAGCACAAAGCATTTGTGATATTCTTAGGGTGTGGACAAGTATGCGTGACAAATAAGGCAAGATGATGTTACGAACAAAGTGTGAGAAAATAAAATCCTTAATTTTGTGCTTGTGTGAGACAGATAAAGTTTGTGCGAGAGCATTATGTAGCGGATGAAAGTAGTCACTTAGGGCCTTAGAAAAATATACATGCAAGCGTCGAAATGCTTATGAGTAATAACATCAGCTATGAAAGCTCTAGGCAAGCTACCATGTCTGGAAATATGTTTTATCGATCGCACAATCAAAACACAATCCTTCCTCAGTAGTCCATGGAAGATTACATTCAGTTCCCAATCGCAAAATTAAGCTTCGCTGTACGGAGAACTTCTTGAGTCGGAAAGTATAAAAGGATAACATACTGACCTTGTGAAAAGTCTCCAAAACTTGCATAGACCAAGAGAGCTTTGGGGAAAAATGGACACCGAGACATTTCACGGTGGATGAAATAGGCATGGTTTTGTCTTTCAAAGTTAACGGAGGAGAGAGACTTAAAATTACTTGCAGTTTTTCCGTGCAGAGAAATGAAAATATTACTTCAGTATATTTCAAAGCATTAAGCTTAAGGGACTTGGTTGAGGATCTACTCACAACTTCATCTAAACCATATTGAAGCGTAGTCGTCTCACTGGATGGAGCTCTGCACTCCAAGACAACATCGTCAGCACATTTACACCCAATGAGTGTTGATGCTTTGAGGAGACTTTCGACATATAAGGAGAATAAAAGGGGTGAAAGGATCGCGCTCTGCAAAACACCACAGTCAGCGCAGAGCATAGGGAAGCTTTTGCCGTTTAACTGGGTAAACTGCATATGATCAGTGAAATAGTCACGCATCAAGGTACACACATCATGGGGGACTCCGTTCAAGTAAAGCAGATTAAGGAGAACTACTCTTTCATGACTCCCGAACGCATTTGGAAAGTCAAAACGTTTTCGGACTTGCTCGTTTTGTCCAGCGCCGAAACTATTGTGTGCACCATCGCAATGAGGCTGGACCTTACCGTGGTGCGATGGTTTGTGTGCCTCTGTGATCCATTGAGCTATACTGCGTGGTGCATTTTTGCACCTTCAGAGCCACTCATACCAGATTGGTCAATGGTTAGAGGCCAGACAAACTCAGCCTCCTGGTCCTCCAGGTTGGGGGTTGGAATGAGGGTGGCTCCTTATTCCTTAAAACGGACTCCTTGTAGCCCAATGCCAAACCCGCTGCCTTGCGGTCAGGTTTTTGAACCAAAGGCTTTGATTGAGAACCCTAATCGTTCTCCTGTCTAGGCCTGGGCAACCTGACAGTATCCTGCCCACACAATACAATGAATTTCTCTTCAAACAAATTTCTGATGCTCTGGCCACCGCAGAGGATAATCAACGGTGCCCTATCTGCTGCATCGGGCAGGGTGGATAGGGGTTTGGATGCTACTGCTCAAGCCTTCCCGTCTTCTTATTCCCCCTCTTGCGCTTTTTCACCCTTATCGTCCCGTTCCAGCTTCACTTTTATCCCCCCTGTTTTCAACCCCCCAATTCTCGGCCCTCCCCCACCTTGCTTCAATAGTCGCTTGTCTTTTAGTTTCAACTCACATGTGAACGCGGAGCGTCATTCCTGCCCTGTCAACAGTCCCATGTCCAAGCAAGCGGTCCATTCCAGTTCATCGGCTTCCATTTGGAGCCCTCGATCCTCCTTCAGATTGGCATGCCTCAATGCTCGCACATTGCTTCAGATCGGTCAACAGGCAGCACTTGCTCGAACATTAGAGACCCTATCGATCGATATCTGCTGCTTATCGGAGACCCGCCTGCAAGACTCGAGCTCTGTGCTCTACGATCCCCTTCAGGTGACACTAGCAGCACTTTCTCGTTGCGCCTATCCGGTGACGATGCAGCTTCGAGCACCGGCCAAGCCAGTGTTGGTATTGCCCTGAGTCCCCGGGCTGAAGCTGCTCTGGTTGATTGGATTCCAATCAGTAGCCGGATGTGTGCGGTCCGATTGGCTGGCTCGTTCAAAGATTCGAAGTCGCGCGGGACTAACAGGTGTCTATTCGTTATCGCTGCCTATGCACCGACAAACTGTAGCGATGACTCGGTAAAAGACGACTTCTATCGTCAACTGAACGAGCTCCTTAGCTACAGAAGAAGCTCGGACACTGTAGTGCTGGCTGGGGATCTGAACGCTCAAGTTGGAAAATTATCCACTGATGAGCTGCATCTGGGCGGCCAACATGGTATAGGCTCCCGTAATGATAACGGTGAGCGGTTACTTCATTTGTGTGAGGATGCTCGCTTATTTCTTGCGAGCACTAATTTCCGACACAGCACCCGCCGGAGAGTGACTTGGCGCCCACCAGCCTCGAACCAGCCTTGGACGCAAATCGATCACATTGCGATCAGTTACCGATGGAGAGGCTGCGTCCAGAACTGTCGCTCGATTTGGAGCACAGGTGTGGACACCGACCATGCACTTGTATGTGCTGACATGCGGATGCGTTTTGGCGGACGCCCACGACGACGTTGTGAGCGCATTGACACCAGCCAACTGACAAAGCCAGCTGTTTTGAATGCCTATCAAAGTACGCTGTCATGCGAGTTGGATAAACGCTCACTGGATGCAATTGAAGCTCACTGGTCTCATATTCACCAGACCTTACTAGCAGCAGGAAAATCCTCATGTGGTGTGTCTAATCGCCAACATGGACATTGGGTCTCTTCTCGGTCTCTGGAACTTATAGATGCTCGCCGGCATATTCCGGCTGGAAGCGAACACAATGAAACTCGCAAAGAGCTCCGGGCAAAACTCCGTGCTAGCCTGAAGAGAGACCGCGAATCCTGGTGGTCTAATCGTGCAACAGAGATGGAAATGGCCGCTGCCCTTGGTAACCATCGTAAGTTATTCCGTCTGATACGGGAAACGGGCAGCAGGAGACCTGGTGTTAGTGAAACTATACGTGACGAGAGTGGACAGCCTATCCACAAATTATCAAAACGCTTAGAGCGTTGGGCTGAGCACTTTGAAATGCAATTTAATCGGTCGGAATGGTTAGATTTCTCGCCGGCCACTGATCGCCGTGCTCCGTTGGCTGTTCCTTTGGATCCACCCTCTCGTTCAGAAGTCGAACGTGAGATCGGACTGTTGAAGTTAAATAAAGCCGCGGGACCTGATGATCTTCCTCCAGCCCTCTTCAAATTCGGGGTACCTGCTCTTATGGATGATTTACACGAGTTACTAGTCAAACTGTGGGAGCAGAAAACTGTCCCAACCGATTGGAGCCGCTCCGTCATAGTCCCAATTTTCAAAGGAGGCTCACGATCGGAATGTGGCAGCCATAGAGGAATCAGTCTGATCTCCATCGCCTCCAAATTGCTTGCCTCTGTCATCCTTCACAGACTGACTGGCACTCGTGAAAGCCAGATTCGTGAAGAGCAAGCTGGATTTCGTCGAGGTCGTGGCTGCATTGACCACATCTTCACCTTGCGTCAGTTGTTGGAGCACCGTCACATATTGGCGGCCCACCGTTGTCGTGTTCCTCGATATCAAAGGTGCATTCGATTCGGTGGATAGACATGCACTTTGGGACTGTCTACTCAGGAAAGGTGTGCCCGAGAAATATGTGAATATTATCCGAGCATTATATGCTCGTAGCTCGGGCAGAGTGAGGGCTTACGGCAAGCTGTCGTCGCCCTTTAATATCTCCAGCGGCGTGAGACAAGGATGCCCGCTGTCACCTTTCCTCTTCAACTTCGCTGTTGACGAAGTCATGGAAATCGCGTTTACAGGACACGACTTAGAAGGTGTGGAGCTACTCCCAGGAGAACGACTTCTTGACTTAGAGTATGCTGATGATATTGCCCTGATCTGT